GTTTTAGGTGGCCTATCGCGTTTGTTTGGGAACCTCTCAGGTGGTATCCATATCAGGTTGGTGGTCAATGTTTTCGAAGCTATCTGGAAATCACCCGGAAACATGTCTTCACGAGCTTATTAATTTCCTCCTCCTGCGTGGGCCAAGTGTGAGAGAGAGAGAGAGAGAGAACAAAAAAAAAAAAAAAAACTCAGGACGGCCGCTGGAGCAGCGCGCCCGCGTATTGGCACTCAGTAGCCTTCCTCGGCGTGGTCCATTCTCCTCCATCTTCTCCCCCTCCTCCTCAGCATCCTCCGTAGCCATTTTGGCTCAAGCCGTTTTGGCCCAAGCCATGGCTCAAGCCATTTTGGCTCAAACTTTTAGCTCGGGCGCGCGCGTGCGGGCGCTTGGGCGGGATGGCGCGGGAGCGTCGGCGAGGCGGCGCTGGTGCGCGTGCCTCGGCAGGCCGCCTTGTCCAGAAGCCGGTCGAGGAGCTCGAGGAGACCAAGGCCAAGTTCGCGCAGGCCCAGGAGCAGCTGTGAGCCAGGGGCGCGGGCCATGGCGTGCGAGCCGAGGCCGCGCGTCGCGAGCGCCTGGCGCGGCCGGCGCTGGAGGCGCGCGTCGCAGGGGGCGCGGAGTCGGGGCACGCAGCAGTTGATCTGCAACGTGGCGCTCCACGCTCGGCGGTGCCCTGCGGAGGGCGCACCGCTGGCCGTGTGGCGCTGCGCCCAGCATGGCCCAAGGCTCGGCGCAGATAGCATGGCTGATGGCCTGGGTGCTGTCGGTGCCGCCATCGCGCGGGGCGAGGGCCTGGAGGGTGCCGTGGTCGCGCACGTCGCGGACTTCGAGGCCAAGCTGCTGGCGAAGTACGACGTCTGCGGCGGGGGCCCCGATGGCGACGAGCGCCAGGAGAGCGGCGTCGAGTGCGAGGGCGTGTGCGGCCCAGGCTTCGGCGTGGAGGAGGAGCTGCGCGGCAGGCTTCACGTGAGGGGCCTCCACGTGCAGCAAGACGAGGACGAGGAGCGCGAGGGGGAAGGCGGCTCGATTCGGCTGCCGCGAGGCGTCTGGCAGGCGGTGGACCCCGAGGCGAAGGCCAAGGTCTTCGTGGAGGGCATCGCGGTCGGGTGGCGCTTTGCTGGGCTGGAGACGGGCGCGCGTTGTGGGACTTCGCGCGAGGCTGGCGGCTGGCCGAGAGGGTTGACCATCAGCAGCACGCGGCGGCTGTGGCGAAGCGCTGGGCGAGCGGAGTCCAGCCAGGGCGCGGGCATGATGCAGAGGGTGCGCGCAAGCGCCTTTCGGCTGGCTCTCAAAAGGGAGCTGGACGGTGAGTTTGCCCTCGACCAGCACATCAAGGAGGGAAAAGGCTACGGCTGACCCAGGACTGAGCGCAGCGCTTAGTCCTTCACCTATTTGTTTTTCTCGCTTCTTCTTCTTGCGCATTGCCTCAGAGTGTTGTCATTGCCGGAACTATCAGGAGGCCGCATTGTGTCGCCTATTGGGTAGCAAGTGGGCTTATAGCTCCGCCGCCTAGGCAAAGTGTCGTCAGCCCCTGGTTCTGGACTCCATCGCATGCGTTCTCGAAGAGACGGTTTTTCCTGCAAGCCTGCATCTGCAGAGGCTGCAGGTATCGGGATCGTGGTCAGGGCCACGTTCCTTCTGCCCACGAGTGTACAAATCATCATCACCCTTCCCTGTCTGCACAGCCCTCACTCCCTCTCTCTCTCTCTCTTTCTACCTCTCCCCCCCTCCTCTCTGTGTCTCCCTCGCTTCAGCGTAAGGTCCCCAGGCCCTCCGCCCCCTTCTTCCAGCCGGGACTGCAGGCTCGAACACGGACCGCGCCCATTCGGTGGTGGGCACGCCCTTCTACATGTCGCCAGAGGCGCGACGAGATGGGGAGCAGGACGAGCAGTAGTCAGGAGGGAGGAGGGAGGGGCCAGGAGGAGGAGGAGGAGGAGGAGGAGGAGGAGCAGGAAGAGGAGGCGGAGGAGCAGGAGGAATGAGGAACCAGGAGGGGGGAGTGCGAAGGAAGGAGGGTAGAGGGATGGTAGAGGAATGGCAGATGGCGGAGGATGGAGAGGAGAGAGAGGATGGGATTGAGGAGACACGCGAAGTGGAGGACGACCAGGAAGGCCCTGGTGCGAAGTGGGGGCGAGGGAGTTGCTTGCCCCTCCCGTTTCCCGCGACATCAAGGCTGCCTACAGTCAAAGCGGTAGTTTTGCAACTAACAAGAGCTAGTTCCAACCAGCTTGACCTTCAAACGGGCATAGAAGGGGCGTGCCCCCACCGGGAATCACAAACCAAGAACAGCGTTTTATCCCAACCCAGCATTGGCGCTGCACAACCAGACCAGCATTTCACAACCAAGAAAGGCGACGACAGCAGTCTCCAAGGTTATTTCCCTAGGCCGTTGGAGGCTTGGCATGTCTGGTAGAGGCTCACGGGTGGCTTTTGAGAGGCGTCGAGATTTCGTGTGCTTGTGGTAGGCGTCTGGGGAGTTTCAGAGAGGTGTCTTGGAGGCTCCTGAACGGGATGGCAATTATTCTACAGGGTCTGAGGGGTTCACTGGAGATGCCTGAGAATCTCAAGGTTCGAGCGGCGTTTTGGAGCTTTCTGAGAGGCTTCCGGGAGGTGGTCGGGCGACGAGCGGGCGGCCACAGAAAGTCGTTAGGAAGGCGTCAGAGAGGTTTCCGCAAGGTTCCCGAGAGCTTCCCGAAAGGATTATGAGGGGCCCCGGTAAGGTTGCCGATCGGCGTTCGAGAGGTCTCCGAGAGGCTCTTGGGAGAGTTATTAGAGGTTGCGAACGGTTTCTTGTAAGTCGAAGGGGGGGTCAGAGGGGCTACGGAGGGGCATCATCCGATATGCAGCTTCCTTTTGCTCAACCAAATCAGCGACGTTGTCGTTGGCATTCTTGGTCTGTGAATTTCACGTCTTATGTTTTGTGAAGGGCATCCATGGGCCACGTTCGCCTGCGAGGTCCCCGCGATGTGATTGCTGTGGTGCCTGAGTCGCTTGGGTGTTCAGTCCGTGTCACAGGGTGCGACCTGGACACGCGCGGCTGGCAGTTTCTAAATCACAGTCAACTTGTCGTATCGTAAACGAAGCGTTTCGCGCGCCAAACATGCTACTTGAGTGTATTATTTATCTGCACATCAGATATTTAAACATACCGATATGTCAGAGCGACGGGGGGAAGCGAACGGTCATTCACCGGCCCTGCGTGCGTGACTGAAATGGGCTTCCCCGATGCGGATTGTTCTAGTTGTTGTTGTTGTTGTTGGTGTTGTTGTTGGTGTTGTTGGTGTTGTTTTTGGTGGTGGTGGTGGTGTGTTGGTTGTCTTTTGTAGTCGGTGCCGTTGTTGTTGGTGTTGTTCTCGTTGGTGGTGTTGTTGGTGCTGTTGCTGTTGCTGGTGCTGTTGCTGTTGTTGGTGGTGTTGTTGTTGTTGGTGGTGGTGGTGGTAGTGTTGGTGTTGTTGTCGCTGTCTGTGTGATTGTTATTGTTCTTGCGAGTGTCATTATTAATGGTATTGCTAGTGCTATTGTTAATGTTATTGCTACTGCTGTTGATATTGTTTCTGTTTGTCGCGATCCGCCAGCGACCCACCCGCGACTCACCCGTGACCCACCCCGCGACCCACCCGCGACCCATCCGCGACCAACCCGCGACCCATCCGCTACCCAACCCGCGACCCGCCCGCGACGCACCCGCGATCCACCGCGCTACCCGCTCGCGACCCGTCCGCGAACTACCCGCGACCCGCGACCCACCCGCGGCCCACCCGCGACTTGCCCGCGACCCACCCTGTGCCCGCCCCCTCACTCGTATCCGCAACTGCGGGGTGCCATATATTCAGTGATCCACAGTTGGCATCGCATCGTTGAATTTTGACATCGGCGCCCTGACAAAGGCGATGGTTGCGGGAGTTCGATGCGAATCATGCTTTGCCACATACATCATAAGTTTGCCTATGTCTCATTCACGTGGCTCTGGCCTGGCTCATTAGAGAGAATTGTTTCCAATTCTCACATGTGTAGCCACGTAGTGCCGAATGCCCACAGGTTGTGGTTGATTCTGGCGCATAACGGTTGTCCGTTCCGACCTGTCATGGTAAGTGTACAGATTTGTTTGTAAATCTTACACGTGAGGATAGGTTTCGCAGGTTGTAAATACCATGCGGATTCGTAACACATTGTGAACAACCGTAGCTACATATAAGTAATTGTTGCAGGTGGTTGTGCGTGGTTCCGCTGGTTACATACAGCTGCAGGTTGCGATGTGTTCCTAGCTGCAGCTGCTCATTCGCGGGTGGTCTCCAAGACTCGCACAGAGAAGCCGGGGGAATTGATCAGGTCTACCATTGTGTTCCGGCTAGACGTAAGAGTGACCTTTCGCCGGAGTGACCTTTGGTGCGGGCCCAAATGGGTCCCCCAATCGCCGTACGCGCTGCGATATCAGCTGCCTGCGCGCTTGGGTGTGGCTCCCCCGCGCCCCCCTAATGCAGCGCAGCAAAGGTCATTCTTACCCAGGGTCACTCTTGCGTGTAGTCGATTTACTGTGCCTTCGCACAGCTGCGTTCTAGAGCTCGCGCCTAATTGTTTTCGTCGTGGCCGCGGTCGTGGCCGTGGTTCGTCGTCCTCCCTCCCTGGCCTCCTCCCTTGCTTCCTTGGCCTTATCGCTTCTGGGCCGCAGAACCCACCCCCGGCATCCCTGGCCTGCCTGCCCTTTTTGGCCCCCCCTTCGGCCGAGGAACCCTTTATTTTCGTCGCGGTCGCAGTCGTGGTCGTGGTCGTGATTCGTCTTCCCCCGTCCTTGGTCTCCTCCTTCACCCCTGGCATCCTTGGCCTCCCCCCTCTTGGGCCGCAGAACGTTTTATGTTCATCGTTGTCGTGGCACCCCTGGCCCTGGCCCCAGCCCCCTCGCTACCTGACCGTGCAAGAGCTAAGGTACGCGTGCCACTTGTTCCCAGCCCCTGCCAGTACCACCCTTTCCCCCGCAGTTGTCCAGTTCAGCCTTGCAAGCTATGTCCAAACCTTTTCGGGTTCGCACCATTCCTGGCCAGTTTGCCAGCCAAGGCCACTTCCATATTGACCAGATTCCGATTCCCAACTGTTCCAGTTTCTGTGGTAGAATAACGTAGGTGTGTTTCGCATGGTTTCTTCTGGGTTCTTTTAAATTTCAACGGGTTCTGGCGAGATCAGTTTGTTCATATGGACCATGCGTGTTGGATCATATTTCACCGCGTCCATCTCCTTTGGCCAATAAGTACGAGTGTGTTTGCAGCCGCACGACTTTCGAGATAGAGGTGCACATTTTGCGTGTGCGTGCGTTAAGATCGTGTAAGGCAAGAGTTCGTGCGCAATACGCTTCTATTTGAGACATCTCGCTGGTTGGAAGCTGACCTTCCCCGAGACGCAACGCTGGTTGGAGTGAGTCACTTCGGGCTGCAAACTGCTTCCCGGGGGTGCAAAAAGACCCGCTCGCCTTTCCCCCATGACGCTCTCCTCATGTCCCCCCCCTGTCCTTCGTTTCTTGTTCCATTTCCCCCATCTCTCTCTCTCTCTGTGTCTCTGTCTCGCTCTCGCTGTCCCTCCTCGTTTCCTCTCTCGCGTCCCCTTCCATCCCGTGCCCTTCCCTTCCCCCATCTCTCTCTCTCTCTCTCTCTTTCTCCAATTTTCCTTACGTCCTATCCGTCACCAGTTCCTCCGCCCCCGTCTCCCTGGCCGGACTCCCCTTCCTTCTCCCGCCCCTCCCCCCCGTCCCCCCTCGTCCCATCCCGTTCTCTTCCTGCCCCTCCCCCCCCCCTCGCCATCTCCCCTCCCTTCGGAACCACGGCACGAGCGGGAGGACGGGCAGCAGCAGCAGCAGCTTTGAGAGCGAGACGCGGTCGTGGCGAGGGAGAGGGCGGGTCCTGGGGAGAGTGGCGCGGAGGAGCAAAGGGCGGGCGAGGCCGAGGAGTTTTGCAGGTCGGGGCCAGCCGCCGCCGCAGGTGATCGGCAACGGCGAGGGCTACGACTTCACGTCCGACATCTGGAGGGGCTCCGCGGGCGGGCGCGGCAGGGGGCTCGCGGGCGGGCGGCAGGGGAGGGCGAGGGGAGAGGGCTCGGCAGGGCGCGCCCGGAGGGGGCGGGGAGGGGGCAGCTCGCGGACGCGGCGGGGCCCTCGGCCCGCGCGGTCGGCGGGGCCGCCCGGCCACCGCGGCGACGAGGGCCGCGGCGGGCGGCGCGGCGGCCAGCCCGCAGGGCCGAGGGCTGCGGCGGGTGCACGCGCGTGGCGGCGCACGGCGATGCGGCGCTGATGGTGATCACCGCGGCAGCGGGCGGGGCTCCTCGTTGCCGCGAGCCGCGAGGGTGCCAGGCCGCGCAGCGCAGGCTGACGC